TATCTACATACTCAACATAGAAGAGGCGTGTTTTTTTTTTCTTCAGAAAATGTGAGATACGCAAACTAAAGTCAGGCCCCAAAAATAGAGCATTTACTTCACACGCACACATGCACACACACACACACACACACACACACACACACACACACACACACACACACATACACACACATACACACACACACACACACACACACACACACAAACACACACGGTTATGTTTCAGGAAGTAAAGTCGGCTGGGCAAAGTGCTGAACTCTACTTTACATGCCCGTAGGCCGTAAAGTTCGAAAAGCAAACTTTACTTACATATATATATATATATATATATATATATATATATATATATATATATATATATATATATAATATATATAATATATATTTATATTTATATATATATATATATATATATATATATATATATATAATATATTTAACAAATGACGAATGATCTTAGGGATAAAAGATATCAGTAATAAAATCAGGACAAATGATATCATGGACAAATGATCTCATAAAATATCTCAGACAGAATATCTCAAATCAAAAACATTTTTGTATTTAAAATGATTTTAAACGATTATAATAATTTTTTTTTAAATTTAATGCCTTTGGTTTTCGTAGTTTTTTTACACATAATAATTTTGAGAAATGGTTTGTCATATTATATTAAATATATTAAAATTATAATTAGAAATATAATATTGATAGATTGAATATTATTTTCAATAGACAGTGTAGGTGGGCTTGCCGAGCATGATCAGACGGATGAATCTAGATGAAACATGGAAGAACAGCATGAAAGAATATTTTAGGTACAGGTTCAGGTTTGGGGTTAAGCTTAGAGTTAAGTTTATGGTTAGACAGGAAATTAAAGTACAATTGAAAATACAATTCTTGTCTTCACTGACGGTCCTTGTTTCTGTGACCTCGGCATATGAAGAGATAGTGTAGTCAGCACTATGCCCAGCCGCCTTTACTTTCCCTAATGAGACTTAGGTAACCATCATAATTAGGCAGAATTGGTTAAAAAAAAACATGAAAGTTTTTTGTCGGGGGGGGGGGGCACAAATTGAAGGTTTGTTCCCGGGGGGAATTGGGTGGACGCAGGGGCGGTCTAATGACTTGAACCCAGATTCGAACTCCAGAATTAGGGGTTAGCAGTCCAGCTATCTACCGCTATAATAAATAGTAGGTAATAACAGTTTCCCAGTTATTAACAATAACGTCGATATTTCATACTTTGCCTGAAAACGCTAGGGATTGTACGCATTTCCTTGGCATTCTATAGAATGCCTGGTTATCCTACTTTGTTGGTACCATATATATATATATATATATATATATATATATATATATATATATATATATATATATATATATATATATATATATATATATATATATATAAGTTATGATAAGAAACAACAGATCATATTACCCGCTAACCGTTTGCTTGTAAAGAGGCCTGAAACACTTTTTTGTTAATAAAATTAACATTTTTATCAGAGGAAAAATTATTTGACGGTGCAAGACTATTTCAATACATTGGACGTTCCACACATACTATCTTTTAAAAGCTGGACTAATTCCACAAGCAGAAGCAAATTATTAATTTTTGTTCTAGAAGTATTATTTTACTTTATTTTAAATATATGAACAGTAAGTTGTAAGATGTTCTTAAACAATTGAACGGTATTTTTGCCATTATTGCATAAGTTAAAGGAAGTGTAGCTTCGTATAGACCCAGGCACAGATAAATTGGCCGATTAGCTAATTTTTCAGTAATTTTTTTAATCTTGTCAACTTTTAAACTGTTATCTAACAACGCAGCGGTTCTTAACTTTTACTTTGTAATCTCTGCGATACAAGGTGAAACATGTGTAATAATAGAAACGTATCTCTGAAAATTGGTTAAAAATTAGTTTAATTCAATTAGATATCTTACAGAAAAAAATGACCTATAATTCTTACGACTTTTATTGTATAGCTAATAGTCGTCGTGAGGAACGTAAGAGCATTTTCAATATCGGAATTCAGTACACTTGAAATGAAAACCATAGATTTCAATTTTGGCTGGCTACAAGATTACTTTTTCTTCCAACTTATTTATCACAAGCAGCGCTTGCTTACACACTATATTTTATTTAAACTATGTTGGTAATGTTAAATATCAACACCATTTTAAATAATGCATAAAAACGTTTTAATAGCAAGCTTTTATGTAATAATGCACTAAAAAGCAGGAATCATTTTCTTTAAATATATAATAATACACTTCTATAAAATTAAATAACCATAAATACTAATATTTAGGAAGAGACCCACGCTTTTGTTTATAGTTATTTAAATAGTAGTGCTTATTTAATATTTAAAGAAAATTACTAGTTTCTTCCTTTTAAAGTGCATTATTACATAAAAGCTGGTTATTAAAACGTTTTTTTTCCAGTACATTAAAAAGGATTACATCTACTAAAATAAATGCAGTGCTTTAAGTGCTCTATATTTTAAAAAATGAAAAAATAAATGTTAGGTTGCGTAACTATAATATTTTTTATTTACTTGCTTTTTATAATTTTAAAGAATTATACATTAAAAATTTTTTTAATCTTTAACATATTTCTAATGCATCTTGTAGCCTATTTGTGTGACAATAACAGATTATAAAATTGATATTTTATCTGTCTTAACGTGTTTTCAAATATAACTCGTTATTTTCAGTACTCAGAAAAAGATTATAACCCCTTTTCTATGTCAAAGTTTCATAAAAGTATTTTACTGGCACAAAAAAAACTTTAGAGAATGGATAAGAGCCGGATTTACATTAAACAAGGTTTAAAGAAACAAAAGTAATGAAAACTTTGGGAACCGTTGTAATAGTTCATGCGCACTGATAAAATTTAATATCTATATCTATAAAAGGAAAGAGGGTGTTGTTTGTCGCTCAGTCCCTGAATTAGATCGGGTATAGCAGGTAAGTTGCAGAGAAATTGTTCTTGATATATTGCGCTATTAAAATTTTATCTAAGGGGAAAAATGGCTTTTTAATCGCGTTTAAAGTTATCAAAAACTGATCTAGACTGACCGCTATTTTTTTTAAACTCCATTTTTGAAGTGTTTGAGTTAGATCGGCCACTTGCAGATGCAATCAAAATTTAATATTTGGTAAAAACTTAGCTCTAGTGCCATAGGGACCTGGGGAAATACTAGATTCTTAGAAATAACATAGTATGAGGTTAAAAATTTAATTCTTAAACCGCTGAAAGGGCGTGATCAAATCAAAAGATTAAATTTTTAATTGCACACATTCTTTGACTACACACACAATTCAACAAAGAAAACATTTGAAAACATTTTCCGAGGCACAAGGCTATATATGTTTAAAAAGAGCAATGCAAAGTTAAATTTAAATTGGCTAATTACTACAAAGCATTATTCGACTGAACTTCGTCTTGTTTATATGTATAGGAAAATGAGTAACATAGCAACCAAATATGTTTTTATCAAGTTTTTATTCACTAGAAGCTCTTTACCTCTTATGAGTTTACTAAATTTGTAATTAAATTACTATAATTTTACATCACCATTGCGAAATATACAAAATTTCAATATTAGATTGATTTAAGAAATGAATTAATCATTTCAAAACGTTTGGCAACTCATAGCTGACGAACAGCGTCAAAATGTGTCAATGTTGCGAGTCAACCAGTTCTATTTATCTGTTGCTCACTTTTTATTGCCTATTGATATGTAGATTTGAAAACTTCAAATCTACTTTTTCACCCAAAACCACAAGCTTTACCGATTCAACCACACCGACTCCCTGGTCTAATTCTTACAGTTATTAATTCAAGTGGAAAAATCATGGCTTTTGTAGAAAAGTATTAAATTTGGTGTTACCCCTAACCCAGTAGTCGATTGACACATCAGTTATTACTATTCTCAACAAAAGCTTTTTCCTCAGACTAATGTTGCAATGTGAAATCTTTAAACTTTGCACATATAATACTAACGATGTTTACCTATGTAGGTTATTAACATGGCTTGATGTGGCATTGTTTCCTCTATCGTTAGCAAGTTTACGTCATGGTATCACTCCAACCCCCCCCCCCCCTCCACCCTTTTCGGGTATCAACTTGGCTCTTATAAGGCTATTTAACTCTAGTTAATAATTCAACTGGAATGATAATTGTTTTTCTCCATATATTTTGCTATTTATTGCCTTTGTTTCACCCCTGTAAATGGTCTCACCTGGTGCGGTCCGCCCCCCTCCCCCTACTCGCGACGCCTGTGATTGTACCATTAATGTAGCATGAAAATAAATCTTATTTGGAAGTGATTTACATCGCTGTGCCACCAAAAATAAATTGCTGACAACTATAATAGTTGACAAAAAATTGTAATTAATATAGTGAGGTCTACATAAAAGGCGCCACTTTTCATAACAATGGCCATCCCACTCTGACCTGCGTAAACTACTGCCGCTGTAAATTGTCTTGTCCCATATCTGTAACATATGCTATTTGCCTATCAAGACGGTGTACCAGCAATATGAGGTCCTTATCTTCGCAAATATTATTTGCATACACCATCATTAAAATCTTCATAATTAGTTGGTTTGGTAACCCTAGACACATAACAGAAATGGGCTACAATAGCTTTAATCTCTAAAAGATATCCTCACCATTGCAGAATGGTATGTAAAGGAACGTCTCGCATAAAATCATGGCATATAGGTACTGGTTAAACATTAGACATCAATATATTTTTAAATCAGTGCGAAAAGACATTTTATTTAGTTATTTCTACTTCAGAGCATGTTGACATTTTTATATTTGTGTCGAATACGTATTTATCTATGTTATAGACTGGCGCCAAAATGTGTCCCTGTTTTATAGTAGGGCTAATCGTTTGTCGTTGTGATTTTTCTCAAATGTACACTTGATACAGTTAAATACCATTGTGAAATTTAATATATTTTCAGATTAATAAGAATGCCTCCAGTTATACTTCTGATAGTATTAGTACTTGGGTGCTATTCAAGAACATCCTCAGCCAGTACTTGTCAGTACTCCCCAGTAGATGACGATGAAATTAAACAGCTAATTCCTTATTTTGATAAAACATCTAGTACAAAAATTCTCGAATACACCATTGGTATACAAAACAATGATTCTTTACTTATTGATGGGAGGTAAGAATATATAGGACTTTATATATACAAGAACAATAACAATACCAAAAGAAATGAGGAAAAAAATAGTTGACGACAAGAAGAATAGAAAAATTATATAGGAATTCACCAATAGATGAAAAGAATAGACCAATAAAAGAATAGAAAAATAGAAAAAAAGGGAACTGAAAATCTAGAATCCCCAGAAAATAATAGAATATACAATATTAGAATATATCGGAATGGCGCCGACAGTAGTAACATAGAAGGGGAAAAAAGTGGAATACAATGTTATTTTTTGTTCTGGTCCTTTCTGGTCTGGTCTAGTCTGCTATGTTATGTAATACAAATGAACAGAAAAGAACAAAATTGGAAGGGAAGTTAAACTGAAGAGATCAAAAACGTAATAGCAGTATAATGAGGTAGGATGAAGAAGATAAGGATATGACCAGATTTAATAGGACAGAATAATAGAGAATTAGAATATGACGAAATAGGATAAAAACAATATAACGGGATAGAGTAGAATCAGTGTTTCTTCCAGACTTTTTTCTCCGGGGAGGGGGGGGGGGCACTTAACATTTTCGGGGGGGGGGGAAGGGTAGACTTTTTTCGGGGGGGGGGGAGGGGCGGACACTGTTAAAAGTATATATTTTCTATATAAATTTCATTTCATTCGGAAGGACGGTAGACTTTCTCCGATGAGATGCTTGGAAGAAACTCTGAATAGAATTGAATATAATAGAAAAACCTGTAAAACTAAAATAATTATCAATGTTATAATATTTTACTATTTGGGGATATTTCGCTATTTAATATTTTAAATGTTTTTAAATATTTTAGGTGGTTTAGAACACAAGGAGACGGAAGTTACATCTTACTTCTAGCCTTTAACTTCTACTACGGTCTATATAATTGGATAATCACTTCAGTCGCCTCAATAGAGACAAAGAAAATAAATATCTCTGTTGACTCAGTGGATTGCTACCTGAACAAAACAGACGATGAAATCAAAATTGAAGTTTATAAATACCTACTAAACGGTAAGAAAACATTTTCTTTTTCCTTCACTTGACTGAAACGGTACTCGGGTATTAAAATATTGTAAACATGGAACATTGCTAAGTAGCAGTTCCTATTATTGAAGGTCACTTTAAATTGAAAGTAATCCTACTATGAGATCTTTTAATTACATATAAAAATTTCGTCTACCTAAATGCAACAGTATCCAAGATTTCGTATTACTACAGAAATAGAGTAATGTATTACATTTGTCGGAAACCGTTCAAAAGTTGACATGCTCATACAAGGAAACCCATGTATATCAAATTTCTTTCACTAAACAAACAGTACTCAGGTTATCGGCTTTCGAAAAATCAGAAGTACAGGAAGTTCCTCGTTCGTTTACAAAAGCTAACAGAAACAAAGGATAAAATACTCATTTATGAAATAATATCTACTTAGCTGAAATGTACTCACGTTATCGTGTTCACACACACGGACAGAATTTCAAAACCACGTTTTTCTGACTCTAGAACGCGTGAAACGTCAAGATTTTGATAAATCTTGTTATACATTTAGTAGTATAAGTCCTATATACTCTGTATACGATCAATTAGAGAGGTGCAGGATTCATTTTTTGCACGATTACAATACTTGTTCTATACTGATGTCTACGAGAATGAAAATAGGTTTTACGGTTGGAATTTCTTTCAGAAAGTGTTCACCGCCCTTCACTTATTTTTTCCAAAGCTTCTATAGATTCCCCCCTCCCTCACACTCCCTGTGGGACGGATTGGTCTAGCGGTAGAGAGCTGGACTGCTAACCCGTTAGTCTCGAGTTCGAATCCTGGTTCAAGTCAGTAGACCGTCCCTGAGTCCGTCCAACTCTGATGGGTACCTAGCTCATGTTAGGGAAAGTAAAGGCGGCTGGACATAGTACTGACCACACTATCTCTTCATATGCCGAGGTCACAGAAACAAGTGAACTCTACTTCACTTGCCCCATAGACCGTCAGGTTTGAAAGGGAAACTTTTCACTTTTCTTTCACACTCCCTCCACTACAGGACGCTTTCCCCGCTCCCTATGGGCGATATAGCCCATTGTCGATATCTTATAATTTCATAGCTTTCATAGCTTATAATTTTAATCAAACTAATGCAGATTTTGGCATAGATGGAGAGTTACAGATACCAACTTTTACAAAGTGCAATGATGTGCAGATATGCCGGACAGAATCAGGATCGGAAAGTAGTATATGGCCTCCATTTAAGTATGACAAAATTTAATCAGGTTTCACACAATTGTATTTTTGTAATTGCATTTTTCATTTCATATAAAAATGCGTATAATAAAAAAATTAACAAATTTTATAAACTTAATGGATACTAAAACTCATTTTTTTCCAACAGATGTTGTGGGTATGATTTAAACAAACAATTTTCTTGCTTCGACGAACACCAAGATACTACAGTCAAAGCTTTGCATATGTTACTTAAAGTTATTGCTGTATTTATTGATGTAATACTTCTATATTATTACTCATTCAAAAAAAGGTAGGGACTACTCTTACATAATATAACTTTAACTTATTCGATCCAACCGTCCGGCTATACGTCTGTCTATTCTTCCGTTCATTTTTCAATCCAGACATTATTCCGTCCATTCATTCTACTATCCATTTATTCATTCATCATTCCGTACATTCACAGACCCACCCAAATACCCGCCTACAAACGGCTATTTAACCACCCACTCTCTTATCAATACATACGTCCACCCAACCACACAACTCATCCACCCACCAACCCACCCACCCATATCCCAACCACCTATCCATCATTCCTTCCGTCTCTACTTCCGTCCATCCATCCGCCAATGAATACACCTATCTATTCATAAATATTACCCACTAATGCAGCTTTTTAAATGTCTTTTCCTTTATCGATCACTTTCATTAATCATTTAATTATATGTATTTCTTTAATCCAACCCCTAATCATGTGCATTTAAGATGTATTTGATATATTCAAACTTTTACATTTTTGACAGTACCTTCAAATTTTATTACACTCCACCGGGGTGAGTATTTCTATAATATTTTATTCACAAATATAATTTAGTTTTGATTTGTGTAGTCCAAATTATTGTATTTATCCGTAAATGTAAATATTATAAATATAAGATAGGAATTGGTATAAATACAGGTAGGCCTATAGGTAAAGGTACAGGTGCAGGTATGAATGTTAGAGATACAGCTATTGGAGCAGGTAAAGGTTTAAAGGTATATGAGGAATGAGGATATAGATGTATAGATCTAATAGCCTTTAGCCAGAAGCCGTTAGACGTTACCATGTGTTATATATATATATATATATATATATATATATATATATATATATATATATATATATATATATATATATATATATATATATATATATATATATATATATATATATATATATATATATCATAGCTATGTCCCTTGAATTATTAATCTATGTTTACCGTTCTAGTGTGTAGTGTGTTTTCTCTTAGTTAACTAAGAGTAAACCCCCCCCCCACACACACACACACACCCCCGAGAGCGTTTACGGTCCCTCCCCTTCGAACGAAATAGAATTTATATTGAAAATTTATAATTTTTATTGAAAATATATACATTTACCAGTGTCAGTCTCCCCTCCCCCGGAGAATTTAGTCCGCATATAGGGGGCGGTAGACGTTCTTCAGGGGGCTTCTCCCCCCCCCCCCCCCCCCACCTGCCCGAAGAGTTACCTGAAAGAAGCTATGAATGCGACTTTTGTCAAGTTTAAGCTTAGGTTCAAGGTTAAGGGATATGACTACGACTATATTTAGTATGCAAGTGCATTAACTACGTGTAGATCATGATTAAATCCGTTTAAAATTCTGGTTAAAAAAACCGTTTTCAATTTCATTTTTTGTTTCCATTTAAATTTGAAGTTGAGGTGTTGATTTTGGTTTTGGTTTCTTTTTCGAGAAAAAGACAACGCTATTAACCTATCGTCCGTTGTATTTCTCCCTCAACTAGTTTAGATTAAATAAATTAAATACTAAATCAAAATATTTGTTTATGTACTTTCTTAATCTTTATCGTACGTGCAAAAAGGAGTACGGACAACAACAAAACCTAATTTAAGATTATGTAATAACTACGCCTAATACATTATTTACTAAATCGGTTTAAATCTATCACATTACAGATATAAATAAAAATGTTTCATTTTAGATTTAACTTCGATATATGTAATTTGAACTTAACTATATTTCCAGTTTCTAAATATCGATGAAATATTGTTTCATAAATATGAAATGGTTTTTTTTTGTTTCTGATAACGTTTTATTTAAATTGTATTTTAGTCTCCCTTCCGGTTGAACAAGAGAACTTGAGTACCGATGTAGTTAGGCGGACGAAATTTAAAACACATTTATTAGATCTTACTCGTATTTTTCTGTCGTGGAAATTGAGACTTTGGAAGGGAGGCTGTTTTATTTCTGATTTTCCAAAAAAAAAACTTTAAAATTTGATTATTTTAATATCATATTTTTATAAAACATTTTCTAAAAAAATGTCACCCCTATATGCAGTGGCGTAGCGAGGTCGGGTGTCACCCGGTGCGGCACTTAATGGTGTCACCCCCCCCCCCCCCACCAGAGGCGTAGCGACCCTTCCCGGGGACAAACTTTCAAATTTTCGATTTCCACCCCCACCCTCAAACTTTTGATTTGCACCACCCCCTCAAGTTTTCGATTTTCACCCCCCACCTCAAGTTTTCGATTTGCACCCCCCCCTCAAGTTTTTCTCTATATATTTTGCTATTTTTTGCCTTGGTGTCACCCCCCTAAATGGTGTCACCCGGTGCGGTCCGCAACCCCGCACCCCCCTAGCTACGCCCCTGCCTATATGTTCTTTATTCGAAAAAAATGATCGGTTTTGTCACATATTTGTACATTTCTATTGCCAGATTCCACTTGCGTGCCATCTAAACTCTAGCGTTAGAATTTTTGAGACAATTTAGGGGAGTTAATTACAGCCTTTTTAAAAGAAGATATGTTTATAAAAGACTTCATTCCCTAAGGGATATAAATCAAATGACCAAATACGTTTATTTTCCATTTTACAAATAATGTCTATTATATCTCTCTCAAGGAATATTCAAAGTGTAAACAAAAAGCGAATATTGCTAGCTGATAGTTCAGATTTGATCTCGGCTGGAGGTCCAGTTCAAAATGCTACACATTTCTTGTTCTTCAAATATACAGTACATAAGGTATGTTTTACTAAAATAAAATACATTTAAAAGTAATTAAATGTGTTTGAACTTTGGTAAATGAAATGAGAAACTCGTCCTATTTTCATGCTTCTTATCCTCCTCATCCTATGTTTAAGAGGGGAAAAGTTAACAGTGATGATTTCGATGTCAACAGACGGGACGTAATTGATCAGGGGCTAATGACAGAGATAAAAATGACGAGACCGTTGGGGTAATGTCTTAGACACGGGTAAAACATTTCAAAAAACTTTCAAATAGAACTTCGGTTGTATATTTATTTATGAAATATATTAAAATTTGAGGTATGTTATTAAAGGGTCGTGTAATTATTATATAATAGTAAATTAGTGATGTTGGCTTTTTTGTAAATTTTGTTACATTTTCTTTTAATTTTCCATTGTTTGTCGCTTATGATAATGTTAAGCTTTGCAATTGAATGTCATGAAATAATTTAATTATATCAAACTGTCTTGTTGTTCGTGTCGAGACTACGAAGGACTGGAAATGTTATATACAATAAATTAAGTAGCTTAATGGAAGAATACGTAATATTTATAATTAGCTTTAGATTTAGCTTTATTTTGTCACTCACGTTTAATTTGCACGCAATTGCCGTTCAACTATGCATTCAATTTTCTTTCCTTTATTCTGTTAAGGTTGGCTATTTAGAGTTGATTGATATATATTTTAACACTGATTGGGTATTCTTGGCCATTCCTACTTTCATTTTGATTGAGGCATCCACTTTAGGGCCATTCTCGTGATGTCGCCTAGATTCATTCTTAAGACTTGCCCCATCCAAGTTATAATTCTTTGCTGTTGATTATGTGTATGTCTCGTTTCCATCCTGCCGACAACGCCAAATGTGACAGAGTGTTACATTTTTTGTTAGTTTTTGTTCAACCACTTCTCGCAGCACCATATGCGACACAGGTGTGTAACCATTTGTCTGGTATGTATTCGTCCAAGCATAGAAATGAGCCGCTAAGATTTGGACACTTCATTTGGCACCAACATTCAATTCATGTAAAGAATCACACTCTGACTAAAGGTTAGAGATAACAAACTATTTCTTGATGAATAATCACGGTTCCAAGAACAACATAAAAATTAACAAACCTCGAATGTCACAGTTCCATATACTGTATCACTCCGTATCAATACCACCAACTGAGTCATATATCTCATTGGTTAATCTATCTGACTACTGAGTTGGTTACAAAATAACATGTTTACAACGAGTGTCCCCTCTTCTATTTAGTCACTCCTGTTAAATAAATTACTTTTATGTCATAGTTAAATAATAGCTCGATTCGGTTTTGGCATTGACCGCGTTCATGTTGACAGACAAGTACGTTGCTTATGTAACTACATTAATTACACACATACACACACATATATATATATATATATATATATATATATATATATATATATATATAAACATATATATATATATATATATATATATATATATATATATATATATATATATATATATATATATATATATATATATATATATATATATATATATAATTTAGTAAATTTAACCTCACTATACTCTACAACCTTAGGGGTCATCCATAAATGACGTCACGCTTTTTTACGATTTTTATCTCCCCCCCCCCCTCTCCCCTCCGTCACACGTCGTCACAAAAAGACAGACCCCCCCCCTAAAATGACGTCACACCTCAACCTACAACCCCCACCCCCTCAAAATTGCAGTTGAATTTTTTTTAAAACATCGATATTTTTTCCAAAATCTTGTCTAAACTATTACAATTTATTAAAACAGTTATCTAAAACACGAAATGACGTATAAAATTCGTTTTCTAACATTGCTTTTTTATAATGCAAAAATGTGACGTCGCAACATCTGAATCCCCCCCTCCCCCTAATCACACATCGTCACAAAATTACGGACCCCCCTCCCCCCTACGAGTGTGACTTCATTTATGGATGACCCCTTATTAAAAACAACTAAAAAATGTAAATTAACTTTGACTTACTTAGCGAATTCGTAATAGCTTGGTTTCGGCTCATGCATCAAACCTTTCTAAAAGTTGAAATTCGCAATCCTATTGTATAAAAGTCCATGTGCGAACTTCTCTCTCTCTCTTTTTATCTCTCTCTCTCTCACTCTGTCTCTGTCTATCTGTCCGCATGTCCCGAGCCTATGAGATTAGTATCTTCAGCTATGTATAAAATACGTAAAGTTACGGACTTTAAAATTATATGTTGGGTGTTTTAAATGTATTAACTAAATTTTGTTTGAAGTAAGAAAATAAAAAGGAAACAATATTCGAGCGTAGAAACACGTTTTTAATTATACACCGGAAAAGTGTTTAGGATTGAGACAAGAAAGCAATAAACATTGACATCACATGCCACATGTTTACACTACGGAAAAAAACACAACACCAATGTCGTCATCATCCAATTTTAGAATATGAAGAAATGAACCATTTCACTCAAATGTGATTTAAATCTACACTCTATAAATCTACTATCAAGATGATTGCTATGAACTGCATACAATTTTCTCGGTCAAGCTAATTTCAAATTTCTTTAAAAAACAACATATTGGCCATTGAACAGCCGGGTTTTTAACGAAATCATTTAAATCTCTTAAATAGTGTGTGCGTTTAATATTGTGTTGAGTTGACTAATGATGTATATAATTAGGTTTTAATTTTTCTAATAGGTGTTGGTAGCATGTTATTTTAAATGTGTCGGATTTTTAGATATTCAGTTATTTCTTTGCTTTGTCACTCACTGGTATTGTTTAACGTGTAGCACAGCACATTGCGTTTTGAGCAATAACTTTTTTATAAAATATTCTTCTCAAACATTTATAACATTAAAAATATTTAGGCCTATAATTCACGTGTAACGGGTACCGACGGCTAATAAAACATAATGAACAAAAAGAAAAATAACTTATTAAAACAATGCCTTTTAAAATCATCGTGCCAACAATAAAAAAAATTTATTACACTTGTATAAAGCTTTAATATGCACTAAAAATAAGAAAATAAAGTTTTAAAAATATATAATACTACACCACAATTTATATAACTTTAAAGAAATGCGTAAGTTACTCATAAATGTTTAGTTCTGGTATTTATTACATAGAAATATCGCAACTATAATCATTTTATTACATTGTTTTATAGTTTCCCCACACCCTTAAGTGAGACATCACTTAAATACGACCTGTTGAATTCCTAATTAACAAACTCACAATAGAATTCAATTAGAGTATTAAAACAAGTATGAAAATAAACGTTGTGGTGTTTCCTTAACCATGTTAGTTTCCAATAAAGTAAGTGAAGTCGAATTTAAACCTTGCGGTTAATATGTATCGAGTGGTTTAAAAATTCTAGAATTTATATTTGTTTACAGAAATAGAGATTCGTTTCTATTTCTAAAAACTTTTTACACAAGAGTCATAAATGTTTTCAATATTTTAGATTTCTTGCATCCCTAAGAAATTTGTATACTCTCTACTTTTAATACTAATTTTAGGTTTGACACGTTAGACAACAACAAGGCTTTCTATTTTGTGGAACTAACAGATCGTCACTAAACTTTTATTATTCTCCTTTTGACAATTTTTATCACATGCATTTGTTGTCTGTATATTCCCTCAACATACTAAATGCATTCTACATATTTAAATGTTGATAACTCGACCCTGTCAGTTGGTTTTTTGCTAGGGTACCTGCTGTATTAATATGTTATTGTTACTCTTTAGTTTGTTTTAACATTATAAGTTTCATTTGTGAGTAGCTGTGTAATTAAAGGTCTAATAATTTACAATTTCTATTTTTTTTTTTTTTTACAGTTATGCATGCTGCCTAAGTGCTGTCAATGTGTACCATCTTGGGTACGCAAAATACACTCTAGAGAACGGATACTACAATTTATCTCTTTACTGATGTTATTGCCTTACGTTTGCGACAACACAAAAAATTATCTTTCGTATATTTTAGGAGTTGGTTCAGCTAGTTTACTTTGTGGTTTATTCTTGCATGACATATGTGGAAAAAGTTGTGAATATTTAGTGAGACGTCGTTGTAATAAAAAATTTGCTGAATGGGTAGCCAAGGGAACAAAGGGTTTATATATTTGTTTTTGGTTGTTTTTGATTTACTTTAGTGTAAGCTACATTGTACATTTTGTGGTAATGCTTTTAATTTGTTCTATTGCGTATAATGATCTTGCTGAAAAATATCTTACTGCTATTGTATTTTTAATTATTTACGCAAATAAAGTATTTGAAGAGTTGAAAAGAAATTATGCTGATTTCCTGAATGAAATTGTGAAGCGAATAGACGAAGCAATAAATAAAGGACTTTTTAAAATAAATAACAAGACCTTGAGAAAAGGTAAGTATATTTTTATACAGTTTTTTTGTTTGAAACAGTGTCCGACATACCTGTTATTATAAATAAAGTTAATAATGAAAAATGTCAACAGGCTTATATAATAGAGCAAAAATTAATACCATAACGACAATAAGGCAATACATGTTGTTGTAGATGAAATAGCAAACATTTAAAATGGTAGCAATAAAATCATATTTAAAAGTCTTTTACCATTTAAATGAGGCTACAAAAGAAGTTTTAGAATCAAGATCATAATATAAAAATCTACACAAAAAAACATAACCGTTCTATACCTTTTATTTAGGTTTTGCTTTTATTTTTAAATGCATATATATTACAATTAACACTAATAGTTTACTTTTAAAATACATCAACATTTATCTATTGTCATATCCATTTAATTTAAGAAAATAAGGAAAGCAGATTACGGATATCTGACTAAAATAGACATTTAAAATCATAACATTGCCCATTGTCATTTAAAACCTAACATTTATTACTGCTAGTAGAATTATTTATAACGTCTGGAAAAACTAATTGCAGTTAGCACCTTAATTTGTTTTCAGTGTGCTTTGATGAATGTTTCCTTGAATTGTTGACTAGATAAGAAAATAATGCGTGAAAAAACTTCGCATCGACAAGTTTTACATAAAATTGGCCCAGATAGCTAAATGCTAAGGAATGTTACGTAACTTGACCTAAAACATTTTGAATTACGATTCCGTTGTATTGATACAGTGTTAATAATCCGAATATGGTTAAACCCTAATAAAAAATAATTTGAAAATATATTCTTTGATTTTGAGTTCCTATGTTGTTGTTTTTTTTACATCTTATCATAAGGAAAATACTTTTAATAAACGTTATATTTAGTTTAGGGTTGACTGAGCTCAACTTAAATGGCGAATATTTAAAAAGTTATTGAGTAATTTACTTTAAGCATACAAGTTTTATTTTAAGTTTTTCGTATGCTGTTGTCAGGTGTACTTTTATTTTACTGCATTTAAAATAGGATAATTTGAACTTTACTGAAAACTTTAATCGCGAGGTAAAAAAAAATTTCAAATTATTTTTTCTTCTTTTCTAGCAAACATCTACACTGATTTTGTAACTGATATTCTGCAGTTAATTGATAAAGCAATTAACGGAAAAATGTCGGAAATTATCAATTTGAGAATAGCTAAGACAGGTATGTACATTATCCTAATTTATCAAAGATCATGTGTGCACTTCTCTCTCTCTCTCTCTCTCTCTCTCTCTCTTTCTCTCTCTCTCTTTCTCTCTCTCTCTTTCTCTCTCTATGTCCGCAGTATTTTCCGAGACTAGGAGATTAGTATCTTCAGGGATAAATGAAGAACTTAAAGATACGGAATATTGTTGAAATAAAGTGTTGAATCTATTAAATGTATTAAATAAATTTTATTTATAGAAGGAAAATAAAATCAAAGGCATATTTGAATGTAGAAACACTTTTTTTATTTATGCAACCGGAAAAGTGTTAATGGTTGTGATAAGAACTCAAATAATAATGACGTCACATGTCACATGTTTAAACCACTGAAAAGTACACAGCACTAATGTCTTCATCTTCTAATTTTAGAATATGAAGAAATGAATAATTTCATTCAAATTTGATTTAGATCTATAGATCTACTTATCAACGCTATGAAATATATACAATTTTCTCGGCCAAAAGTAATACAGATTACTTTAATAAACAATATAAATACCATTGAACAGCCGGGTTTTTAACGAAATCATTTAAGTCTCTTTATTCAGTGTGAGCATTTAATAAGTGTTGTGTTGACTAATAATGTATGCAAGCCAACCCGCGGCGTACCGTACGCCGCTATTTAGTTGTTTTATTTCCTACTTTTCAGTAATTCATAATTTGTGAAATCGACACTACCAATGCTGCGACTGAAAGAAGTTTTCTTTAAAAACTCTATCAGTAGCTTGTGAAGGGCGATTTTCCTCACTCTCCCTTTCCCCAACCACGATGGTGACGATAGTTTCAGACGGCAAAAAAAAGATTAACCAAATCTTGTTACCTCCCCTTAGTTTAAAATCGTTTAAAAAAACTAAATAATCTGCCCCTAATAGCCGTCACTAATTTGATCCTGTTCTATGATTGTAAACATTTGAGTGAACCACAGCTCACCAGACCATGTAGGTGTTGGGGCTGGTAGGGATATGGTCTGATGCGCATGCCTGTAGAGCGAGCGAGGGATATTAGAGATTTGCGTAGGTGCTTGATGGTGGTGGTGGTGCTGGTGTCCCGCATGGTTGGGCGAGGTAGAGAATTATATGTATAGAGATAGCTTTGTTTTAATTTTAATAATAGGTATTGGTAGCCTATGTTATTTTAAATGTCGGATTTCTAGCTATTAGTATTTCTTTGCTTTGTCTCTAATATCGTTCAGCCTGTAGTAAAGCACATTGCGTTTTGGCCATTAACTATTTTATAAATTATTTTTTCCAAATAAGTATAACACTAAAAATATAAAGACCTATAATTCATGTAAACAGGGGAACCTATGTCTACTAAAGTAGAGAAAAGAAAGTATTTTTAAAAGCACAAATCAGTGTAATGTCGATATTTCTATAATTAAGAGTACGAGAACCACTTGCAGAGAGCGTGGGATTGTGATTGTGATTGTGATTGTGATTGTGATTGTGATTGTGATTGTGATTGTGATTGTGATCGTGATCGTGATTGTGATTGTGATTGTGATTGTGATTGTAGATGTAGATGTAGATGTAGATGTAGATGTAGATGTAGATGTAGATGTAGATGTAGATGTAGATGTAGATGTAGATGTAGATGTAGATGTAGATGTAGATGTAGATGTAGATGTAGATGTAGATGTAGATGTAGATGTAGATGTAGATGTAGATGTAGATGTAGATGTAGATGTAGATGTAGATGTAGATGTAGATGTAGATGTAGATGTAGATGTAGATGTAGATGTAGATGTAGATGTAGATGTAGATGTAGATGTAGATGTAGATGTAGATGTAGATGTAGATGTAGATGTAGATGTAGATGTAGATGTAGATGTAGATGTAGATGTAGATGTAGATGTAGATGTAGATGTAGATGTAGATGTAGATGTAGATGTAGATGTAGATGTAGATGTAGATGTAGATGTAGATGTAGATGTAGATGTAGATGTAGATGTAGATGTAGATGTAGATGTAGATGTAGATGTAGATGTAGATGTAGATGTAGATGTAGATGTAGATGTAGATGTAGATGTAGATGTAGATGTAGATGTAGATGTAGATGTAGATGTAGATGTAGATGTAGATGTAGATGTAGATGTAGATGTAGATGTAGATGTAGATGTAGATGTAGATGTAGATGTAGATGTAGATGTATAAATTTGTATGTGTACGTGTACGTGTACGTGTACGTGTACGTGTACGTGTACGTGTACGTGTACGTGTACGTGTACGTGTACGTGTAAGTGTACGTGTACGTGTACGCGTACGCGTACGCGTACGCGTACGTGTACGCGTACGTGTACGTGTAAGTGTACGTGTACGCGTACGTGTACGCGTACGTGTTGTTTTAGGTGTAGGTGTAGGTGTAGGTGTAGGTGTAGGTGTAGGTGTAGGTGTAGGTGTAGGTGTAGGTGTAGGTGTAGGTGTAGGTGTAGGTGTAGGTGTAGGTGTAGGTGTAGGTGTAGGTGTAGGTGTAGGTGTAGGTGTAGGTGTAGGTGTAGGTGTAGGTGTAGGTGTAGGTGTAGGTGTAGGTGTAGGTGTAGGTGTAGGTGTAGGTGTAGGTGTAGGTGTAGGTGTAGGTGTAGGTGTAGGTGTAGGTGTAGGTGTAGGTGTAGGTGTAGGTGTAGGTGTAGGTGTAGGTGTAGGTGTAGGTGTAGGTGTAGGTGTAGGTGTAGGTGTAGGTGTAGGTGTAGGTGTAGGTGTAGGTGTAGGTGTAGGTGTAGGTGTAGGTGTAGGTGTAGGTGTAGGTGTAGGTGTAGGTGTAGGTGTAGGTGTAGATGCCGGTGTAGGTGTAGGTGTAGGTGTAAATGTAGGTGTAGGTGTAGGTGTAGGTGTAGGTGTAGGTGTAGGTGTAGGTGTAGGTGTAGGTGTAGGTGTAGGTGTAGGTGTAGGTGTAGGTGTAGGTGTAGGTGTAGGTGTAGGTGTAGGTGTAGGTGTAGGTGTAGGTGTAGGTGTAGGTGTAGGTGTAGGTGTAGGTGTAGGTGTAGGTGTAGGTGTAGGTGTAGGTGTAGGTGTAGGTGTAGGTGTAGGTGTAGGTGTAGGTGTAGGTGTAGGTGTAGGTGTAGGTGTAGGTGTAGGTGTAGGTGTAGGTGTAGGTGTAGGTGTAGGTGTAGGTGTAGGTGTAGGTGTAGGTGTAGGTGTAGGTGTAGGTGTAGGTGTAGGTGTAGGTGTAGGTATTGGTGTAGGTGTAGATGTAGGTGTAGGTGTAGGTTTAGGTGTAGGTGTAGGTGTAGGTGTAGGTGTAGGTGTAGGTGTAAGTGTAGGTGTAGGTGTAGGTGTAGGTGTAGGTGTAGGTGTAGGTGTAGGTGTAGGTGTAGGTGTAGGTGTAGGTGTAGGTGTAGGTGTAGGTGTAGGTGTAGGTGTAGGTGTAGGTGTAGGTGTAGGTGTAGGTGTAGGTGTAGGTGTAGGTGTAGGTGTAGGTGTAGGTGTAAGTGTAGGTGTAGGTGTAGGTGTAGGTGTAATACACAACTAAACAAAACCAAAGCAAAGAAAAATAAAGCCAGAACAGAACGGAACAGAACAGAGCAAAGATAAGGAAAACAAAACAAAACAAAACAAAAACCTAGACTAGACTAGAATAACTTAGAGTTGACTTTCTTAGACCAGACTAGCTGGGACTAAGCTAGCTGAGACTAAACTAAACTAAACTAAACTAGTTAAAACGACAGAAAACAGCTATCGTACAGCTTGAAACTCTTGTATGTATTTATATTTTTTTTAAAGTGCACATATAAGGCTAATTATCTATTTTAAGCAAAACAAAAAACATACAAAGATTTTGAGAAGAATATTAAGAAGGTGTTTGACGAAGCCAATGAAGAGATAACAATGTCACCACAGGCTTCAAATTACACGTGCTTAGGTATGTATATATATATATTGTCATTTTAAGTTGATTTAGAGTCCCTCTATGAAGTTATTTACATTAGGTAAATAATGCTCATAAAAAAAAAATTACCAAAACCCTAATGTCACACTTTTGCATTATAAAAAAGCAATGTTAGAAAACGAATATTAGACGTTATTTCGCGTTTTAGAAAACTGTTTTTATTGTAATAGGATTTGATTAAAATACTCTATTTTGACAGAGTTCAGACAAGATTTTAGAAAAAAATCGATGTTTGAAAAAAAAAAATCAGCTGCAATTTTGAGGGGGGTTGTAGGCTGAGGTGTGACGTCATTTTAGGGAGGGTCTGGCTTTTTGTGACGACATGTGACTGATGCGAGGGGAGGAGGTAAAATCGTCAAAAAAAAGCGTGACGTCATGTATGGATGACGAACGAACGAACGAACGAACGAACGAAAGAAAGAACGAATGAACGAACGAACGAACGAACGAACGAACGAACGAACGAACGAACGAACGAACGAACGAACGAACGAACGAACGAACGTTTTATCTAATATTGTATTTGTATTTTTTAATGAATTGTAGGGCCTACATGTAAGGCTAATTATCTATTTTAAACAAAAAAACGACAGAAAACAGCTATCGTACAGCTTGAAAGTCTTGTCTCTTGTATGTATTTTTTTTAAAGTGCACATATAAGGCTAATTATCTATTTAAAGCAAAACAAAAAACATACAAAGAATTTGGAAAGAATATAGATAGGATGTTTGACGAAACCAATGAAGAGAGAACAATGTCACCACAGGTTTCAAATTTCACGTGCTGTGGTATGTATATCTATATTGTGTTTCTCTTTTGTAATTTACCTGATGTATAATTAAAGGCGTCTTTTAAATATGAATATATCATTTATTTAATTTAAATAACTAAATACACTTCTGTAAAACATTTGGGGTCATCATTCTTTTTTTACCATATTTATTTAAGCAAATGTTGGATAATCTGTCATGTTGTCATGTTTGCCTGTCGTCCCTACTGGGACATAGGCCGCTGACAAGAGCTTTCCAGACGTCTCTGTCCAGGGCTAGTCTCTCCAACTGTCCCCAGGTGTATCCAATCTTCTTGGTGTCTTCTTCCAGGTCACGTCTCCAGGTCTTTCTTGGTCTGCCTCTCTTCCTCCTGCCTTGTGGATTCCAGGTGAGGGCCTGTCTTGTTATGCTGGATACAGGCTTCCTGAGTGTGTGGCCAATCCATTTCCATTTTCTCTGGAGGATCTCTACTTCCACTGGCAGTTGATTTGTCCGTTGCCATAGAACATCATTTCTGATGGTTTTAGGCCAGCGAATTCGAAGGATCTTTCTGAGACATGCGTTTATAAATGATTGTATTTTCTTCTTATTTATAGCAGTTATTCTCCATGTCTCGGCTCCATAGAGTAAAACAGGTTTTACTAGTGTGTTGAAGATCCGGATTTTTATTCTAAGGGTTAAATCTCCCGAACCCCAAACATTTTTTAGTTGGTTGAAGACTGCTCTTGCCTTACCCGTCCTTATTTTTATGTCTGCTTCTGTCCCACCCTGCTTATCAACAATACTTCCAAGGTAGGTGAATCTATCCACTTCTTCTAGGGCTTCTTCTGCCAGTGTTATAGGGTTGTTGTTTGATGCATTGACTTTGAGAACTTTACTTTTCCCTCTGTGGATGTTCAGACCCAGGCTTGTAGAAAAATTTGCAACCCTGTTGGTTTTATCCTGCATTTGCTGTTGTGTGTGAGAAAGGAGGGCCAGGTCGTCAGCAAAGTCCAGGTCATCCAGCTGGCTCCACAATGTCCACTGTATACCGTTTCGCGTTTTCTCTGTTGACATCTTCATAACCCAGTCTATGGCCAGTAGGAACAGGAATGGTGAAAGTAGGCAACCCTGCCTTACTCCGGTCCGTACTGGGAAGGCCTCCGAAGTATGTTGGCCATGCACTACTCTACATTTGAGACCTTCATATGAAGACATAATAATGTTGACTATTTTCTGTGGCACCCCGTAGTGTCTCAACAATTTCCACACTGACTGCCTATCCAGGCTATCAAAGGCCTTCTCATAGTCTATGAAATTAATATAGAGAGATGAGTTCCACTCTTGGGTCTGTTCAATGATGATGCGCAGGGTAGCAATTTGGTCTATGCATGACCTTTCCTTCCTAAAGCCCGCCTGTTGATCTCGAAGCTGGGGATCTATGGCTTCCTTCATTCTGTTTAATAATATTCTGTTGAAGACTTTGCCTGGGATGGACAAAAGTGTTATCCCTCTATAGTTAAAGCATGCACTAAGATCGCCTTTCTTTGGAAGCTTTATGAGTAGTCCCTCCTTCCACTCCTCTGGTATTTGTTCATCTTCCCAGATTTTCTTGAAGAGTGTGTATAGTAGTGTGGTGCTAGTTTCTATATCTGCTGTCAGTGCTTCTGCCGGTATACCATCTATTCCTGGAGCCTTCCAATTTTTCAGCTGCTTTATAGCTCTATGTATCTCTTCTTTTGAAGGTGGGTTGCAGTCTATAGGGAGGTCACTTTCAGCTGGTGATATGTCTTGCGTGCACTCTGGTGTTGGTCTATTCAGTAGTTCTTCAAAATGTTCTACCCATCTCTTCATCTGTCCTTCCGCATCAGGTATTGTCTTTCCATCTTTGGTTTTCACTGGCCTCTCTGGCTTACTGTACTTACCAGATATCTTCTTAATTGTATTGTACACGTCCCTAATATTACCATGGTACAGTGCTTCTTCCGCTTCTCTTGCCAGCAGTTCCAAATAGCTCCGTTTGTCTTTCCTTATGTGTTTCTTGACATTTTTGTTCGTTTCGGTGTATTCTTCCATTTCTTTTAATTTCGTAGCCCGTGTGCGGCTGTTGTTTAATGTTGCCTTCTTTCTTTTTCTCTCTTCAATAATTTTCATGGTATCTGCTGATATCCATTCTTTCGCTTGTCTTTTGATAGGGCCTAGCACTTCTTCGCATGTTGATGTTAATATACTTTTAGTTTTTTCCCATGTTTCCTCTATCGTCTCTTCTTCTATTAGTTCTTGTAGTACCTGAAACCTATTGGACATATGAAGTTTAAATTCGTTGAGTTTAGATGGGTCCTTTAGCAGGCCTGTGTTGTACCTGTATTTCCTTTTGTTTTCCAACATGTTTTTCTTCAGCTTGAGTTTTACTTTAGCTACCAGTAGGTGATGGTCTGAAGCAACATCAGCTCCTCTCTTGACGCGTACATCCTGAAGTGATCTCCTGAACTTTTTTATGATACATATATGGTCTATCTGGTTTTCTGTAGATAGGTCGGGTGATACCCAAGTAGCTTTATGTATCCTTTTGTGATGAAAGAGACTACCGCCAATGACTAAATTATTTGTGGCACACAAGTCAGCAAATCTTTCTCCGTTTTCGTTCATCTCACCTAAACCCTGCTGTCCCATACATTCTTCATATCCTCTGTTGTCGCTTCCAATCTTAGCATTGAAGTCGCCCATGAGTATAAGGATGTTTCTTCTTGGGCGGTTCTGGATAATGTTCATTAGCCTGTTGTAGAATTCGTCTTTGGGATAATCTGTGCTTGTCTGTAACGGTAACGTAACGGTAACGTAACGGTAACGTAACGGTAACGTAACGGTAACGTAACGGTAACGTAACGGTAACGTAACGGTAACGTAACGGTAACGTAACGGTAACGTAACGGTAACGTAACGGTAACGTAACGGTAACGTAACGGTAACGTAACGGTAACGTAACGGTAACGTAACGGTAACGTAACGGTAACGTAACGGTAACGTAACGGTAACGTAACGGCAACGTAACGGTAACGTAACGGTAACGTAACGGCAACGTAACGGCAACGTAACGGTAACGTAACGGTAACGTAACGGTAACGTAACGGTAACGTAACGGTAACGTAACGGTAACGTAACGGTAAAGTAACGGTAATGTAACGGTAACGTAACGGTAACGTAACGGTAACGTAACGGTAACGTAACGGTAACGTAACGGTAACGTAACGGTAACGTAACGGTAACGTAACGGTAACGTAACGGTAACGTAACGGTAACGTAACGGTAACGTAACGGTAACGTAACGTAACGGTAACGTAACGGTAACGTAACGGTAACGTAACGGTAACGTAACGGTAACGTAACGGTAACGTAACGGTAACGTAACCGTAACGTAACGGTAACGTAACGGTAACGTAACGGTAACGTAACGGTAACGGTAACGTAACGGTAACGTAACGGTAACGTAACGGTAACGTAACGGTAACGTAACGGTAACGTAACAGTAACGTGACGGTAACGTGACGGTAACGTGACGGTAACGTGACGGCAACGTGACGGCAACGTGACGGTAACGTAACGGTAACGTAACGGTAACGTGACGGTAACGTAAGGGTAACGTAACGGTGCCGTAACGGTAACCTAACTGTAACGTAACGGTAACGTAACGGTAACGTAACGGTAACGTAACGGTAACGTGACGGTAATGTGACGGTAACGTGACGGTAACGTGACGGCTACGTGACGGTAACGTGACGGTAACGTGACGGCAACGTGACGGCAACGTGACGGTAACGTAACGGTAACGTAACGGTAACGTGACGGTAACGTAAGGGTAACGTAACGGTGCCGTAACGGTAACCTAACTGTAACGTAACGGTAACGAAACGACATGGTAACGGTACCTTAACGGTAATGTAAAGGTAACGTAATGGTAACGGAACCGTAACAAAACGGTAACGGATCGGTAACAGAACGGTAACGGAAAGGTAACGTAACGGCAACGTAACTTAACGTAACGAAAGGATATAACTTAACGGTAACGGTAAATGTAACAAAACGGAAAAAATGTAATTGGTACTGTAACTTTAGTGTAACGGTAACGTAACACTAACGGTAACTTTAACGGTAACGATAACATAACGATAACGAGACGGTGACGTAACGGTAACGTAACTGTAACGTAAAGGTAACTTAATGGTAACGACGATGTAACTTTAATTTAAAGGTAACGTAACGGAAACTTAACGGTAACGTAAAGGTAAAATAACGGTAACCTAGCGGTAACGCAACGGTAAAGTAACAGTATCAGAAATGTAACGTTACGGTAATCTATATTTATAAAATGCAATGTATGTGTGTGTGTTTGTTTGTTCGTTTGTCTTTTATTCATTACTACACCTCTCATTACATCGCCGTAAAACTTTGGGAAGTTGTTGAGAATATTTCTGGGGAGGCTTCTGCGAAAAAAAACTGTTCAGGTTCGTAAGGGTGGCGCCCCGGCAGGAAGCGATTCGTTTTTTCTCTATATACGGTATATAAAAACAAAAGTCGATTGCGGTTTGACACCGTTCATCCAATCGCCATGAAACTTTGGGGAGTTAATTAGAACACTCCAGGTGAGGTTTATGTAAAAATCTGTTGTTTTTTTTTAATTTCGCTAGGGCGGCGCCACGGGAGGGTGCGGTTTTTCTTTATGAACGGTATATAAAGAAATAAAAGTCGCTTGCGGTTCGATACCGTTTATCCGAGTGCCACAAAACTTGATGGAGTTGATGAATACTCCCGATAAAGTTTCTGAAGGGGTGGGTAGTATTTAATTTTGCATTGGCGTCCCCCGGCAGGATGCGATTTGTCGCGCTGGTCTTTCCCGTGAGTGCTATTGCGACTACTTTAGGTCTAAACAGTGCGATAGACAATGGATAAGATGGGGCGTTACAGTCGCTCACTAAATTGAATCAGGCGTGTCCGCCGGCGTCCTGGTAGGGTGCGATTTAGCATTGTTTACATTTAAATAACTCACTTTTAGAAAACAAGGTCGCGCATCTAAGAATATAGGTTTGGTAACGCATGGATGAAACCTTTCCTATATATTTCGTCGGACTTTCTTCTATTCTCTTGGCAACGCACGGGGACGGGTACGCTAGTATATAATAAAATACGGCCTTTTAACAGTGTTTTTCAGAGAGGAA